GAGAGAGACTACCTGCTCACATCTTGTGGCCTCTGGACAAACTGCAACATCTGTCTGGTCTCTTACTGGAAAGAAACTCCAAAATAAAAGAGGTAAACCTCAGCCCCAGCCTGCAGCAGACTGACTAACTGGTTTTAATGGTGAATCACTGGCAGAGCAAAGCTCGTCGCAGCCAGGCTCTGATGGCCAACACTGCGCATTGTGAGTGCTGCATGAAGGGCTGCTGCCTGGAGCCACGGTGCACTGTCCTGATGATGATGATGATGATGATGATGATGATGATGATGATGATGATGATGATGATGATGGTAGTGGTGGTGGTGATGTCAGTGTTTCCACACCATAGCATTAAATCAGCTACAGCAGCCACAGACACGGACAAACACGCCTCCACGCGCACAGATCAGTGCAGATAGGAAGGGCTGCACCGCGCTCGCGCTCTTACACACATTACGACAATCCTGACAAATAAAGCGTCTGAACGAGGGGGTGAGCTCAGTCAGAGCCGACACCTCCTTGTTCCGGAGAATAAAACCGTCTTACCGCATCGGTCCGGACTCCCAGCCTGAGCTCATCCATTTTCCCCTCTCCTCAGGGATGCTCAGGATCCGAGGCAGCACGATGGTGTTTTCCCGATGACGACATCTGACATGTGCAGAGGGGCGAAGCTGCAATGTGCGCCTTATTGGTCAGACTCCGAGGGTCCTTCTCTCCTCCTCCTCCCTGATCGGACGACGCCAGGAGGGTTTCTGCGCACCCACGCTGCGCAGCGCCGGTCTGCGCCGTGTCATTTCACCTCCATTCCGGCCGCAGCGCTGACAGCTCGCGCTTCAAACCACAATTGTGAAGGTTTGGTGCCACGTGCGCGTGCGCGTCCCCGACACAAACCCCACCTGCAACAAGCAGCGAGGAGCGAGCCTCCATTACAGGGAAGCTCCCTCTGGCGCCTCCCTGAAGGAGTTTTATTAGGGGAGGGATGGATTTATAAGCATGCAGCCTTTTAATGATGGCTGACAAAAAGAAATAATAAAATAGACGCATCTGTCGCCGCCTTTCATGGCACATTTACACTCAGATCATGTCATTTTGACAAATGAAGGGAGCCATTTTGGTCAAACCTTGATTAAACCTACAAATACAGATGTTATGTTTGTTTTAAAGGCACAGTGTGTAGGATTTTGTCAAGTCTTTTAGCCGAAATTGAGATAATCACTAATGACAATAATAAAAACAAGTCTAATCATTACAGACAAAGACCTTGTTTTATTATTTTTACCTTATAAAAAGCTGTTTATATCTCCATGGTCACAGGTCACCACTACAGGCAGCCGCCATCTTGTCTACGAAGGCTCATGAAGGACAAACTGTGGTGGCGGTGTCAAAAACAGTTTTAGTTGGAATACTGTGAATGTAATATTTGTTGTCTGTTATTGTAGCTGGGATAATTTTACTTATTAAAGCTCATAATCTTACCACTTGAAACATCACTAGTCCTGAAGCTGCTGGTAGACATCG